TTTTGTTACATGTCAGCTGGATGCATTTGGGCAAAGCCGACCTTTTTTTTTTTAAGCAATACCTTGGTGCATACTGGGTGAGGTGCTGCCTTAATGGACTGCCACAGTCCTTGTAGTTGATAGGATCTGCTGGAACAGCAGGCTCCCGTGATCTTGAAGGGTGAAAATTGGGCCCTTTTTGATATGACACGGATCTGGAGTAAAATGTTAGGTTCGAAATACAGGGGTGTAAGTTGTAGCCGTGTTGGTCTGAGGTTATAGGCAGACAAGGTGCTTTGGGTAAATCTGATATCTTTTTTTAGACCAACTCAAGGTGCAATAAAAATACAGAATGCAACTTCACGTTGGCTGTTCCAGCTGCTGCTTCAGGCCTGTTTTTTCTACTGTATCCTAATTTTTTCCGTATGTTGGAGACCCCGCTATGAAAATATGCAATACTTCATAATATTGCATATTTAATCCAGAAATCCAATGCATCACAGCAGTGCAACCCCCATCCTCATCCTAAATGCAGCATAGAAAAAAGAAACATTTCAAAGAACAGACTTTTTTTTTTTTTTCAGCCCAAGTTGAGAAAATGCCAGAGCTACTAACACAACCCAACGTGGTGTATCAGTTAGTGCACCATTGTGAGGCTTCGAAGTCGTGCACCAAGCACTTTCTAAGTTAATTACTTGGCCTCTCTTTTGCATTTGCTGCGAGCAGACTGTCAGCTGCTGTTCGTCTGCCAAACGAGATGAAAGACACCCGCCTGAAGTGTGAAGCTTCTTCCAAACCACATTGCAGCGCATGATTCCTCTTTGTGTCGGTGCAGTCAGGCTATCTGGAAGCCGGGCTGGTCAGTCTCTGCTCGAGTGGCTTCACTTCTCTGCAAGTCCTCGTGAATCTGCTCCGGAGTCTGTCGGCTGCTTCCAGCATCTCCGCGCAGGGGAGATGTCTTTCCTCGTTAGGCTTTTTCTCATCGCTGTCAACGCGCTCTTTCTTCTCTGCTTCGAATCGTAGGGTTTCTATGGCTTTCTGCTCTCCCTGATGTTTGTGACAGTGGCAGGTAAAGTTTCTTACCTTCTTTTTAATTTGATATCTGGCACTGGTTTGAAAATATGGGCAGCTGTTCTTAAAATGTGAATAGTGGTAATATGTGGGAGGCTTTAAATTTTTTTTATGTAATTTTATTTTACTTTTTTTTTTTTTCTTCCTAAAGCAAAATAAAATCTTGTTATGTCTTGAGACTTCAAGGCTGCTAAGTGTTCCAGTTAGCTGGTGCTTTTACCGTTGCATGGTGCTTTTAATTGCTCTTTTGCATAAAAGATACATGACATCATTTGGATGCACTCCCGCTGTATGAACATTGTGCTTCACGACATGTTCAGCAGCGGCAAATGTTGGATAAGGACCATGGCTTATTAATCCTAAATACATTTTAGTGTTTTAAAATAGCTAAACAAGCTCCACGCTGAAGTCCTTATCTACAGCAAGTTGCCTCCAGCAATAGCGAAAACATTCCCATAGTTTGAGTCATAGCTAACTATAGAAGAAAAGGATGGATTGCCAACTACTGATGTAGACTATTGAGGTTTTAAATTCAGTGTTTTCACCAAAAAATAGGCAGGTAAACTTGTCCTGGGATAAGGATTTTTGCCATCCGGATTGGCCAAAATTAACATTTTAAAGTTCAACCGTGCTATGCGTGATTGCGCCTCTTATACGGGGTTTTGTATGGTGCATGTTTATCTGTCTTTCTGACATGAATTGGGTCGTGTTGGGTTACTTTTGTTCCCTCCCCGATCAGCAGCATAATTTAAGGGTCTTGTTTCTGGAAGAGGAAGAGTGTGATGCAATGATAGTTATGAATATAATAACTTTTTTTTTTTCCCCATCATGTGAGCTGTAATGTCTAGCTGGTAGATGCACAGTATTTCTCAGAAATACCCCAACCCAGTTGATACGTTATACCTTTAATGAGCAGGAGCATCCAAGCCCTCAAATATACACTGAGGGTAGACCGTGGCTCCACCGGGCTATCATGCCAGTAACCCATGTATTTAATAGACCCTCTCCTGAATGACTGCTAATAAGATAGAGCAAGTGGAGACGCCGTTTTAGAGACATTGTGTTTTGTCATTGCTTTGATCAGTGAAATACAGAAGCGCCTCTAAGGAGGTAGTTTTTTTGGTTCAAACTACCCCAAACCCCTGCGCATGCTGCAGCTAAAGGAACAGAGTTTGCTTTAGGTTAGTAGATCACGTACGAAAACTTGGTGTTGAAGCCTGTCCTCGTGCAATGTTCTGAGGTTGCTATTTCTACTACCTCGCCTCCATTTCTTGAAACTTTTGTTTGTTTGTTTGTTTGGTTTTTTTTTTTTTGGCCAACTACTGCTTTTGGGTAGAGGTAAAACCGCCCAGAAGCCAGCCATGGCCATGTATTGGGGGGGGTAAGAATTTGGTCACGAGCTACGGACTGCAAGAGAGAGTCCCATGGGTGTGAGTTCCTCGGGTGAATGGTATGCTAAATTATTTGCCTTCAATCCATCTGTAAAATGTTGCCTTCAAAAAAAACCCCAAAAACATAACAAAAAACCACACAGGAGCCGCTCAATGGTGTTTTTGTCTCTTGTTGCAACTGAGCTGCAATTACTAGTTCTGTTTTTCCCATGAATCCACGTTATTCAGTGGTGTTAGCAGAAGCTCGGCATAAAGGGCAAGATCGGGCCCGGTGAGATGTATGCGAGACCCGCACAAGCAAATGAGTGTGTGCATGGACTGCCTGTGGGTTAGGACTGATTTATTCGCTATGAAACCTTGATGGCCATTGCTCCTTCCTCTTCTTATTGCTCCTTTTTGGTTGCATTAGGCACTTCCAAGTAGCTTCTAGCTGGGTACCTTAATTTACCAGTATGTGCGCATTCAAATGAAAGTGCAGTCCTTTAAGTGCCCACATTGATTGCACTCTTGACGCATGTTCTCCTGTACACGTGATATGAAGCTGTTGGCCAGCATTTTGCGGTGGAGCCATGACCATGGTTTCTACCTGGATGGCATCAGGGCCGACCTCTTTAATGGCACTGTTTCTTTTATTAGTGTTGTGGAGTTATTAGGACTCATTCCAGTGGGTCCTGAGCAACCTTTCGCTGCTTTCTGAGTAATATTCCTGCGTCGGAGAGATGGTGCTGAGTAGCTGTGTGAAGTCTGATCTGTGCGCTTACCCTGTATTCCTTCCTGTAAGCTTCTGGATGGGGTGCCAGTGCTTGGTGGGGCTGTCCTGTGATCGGCAGGTGTACAGGACTCCTCGTTTCCACCTCCAGCGCACAAACTTCTGCTCACCAAGAGGGGGATTCGTGATGATCACTTGAACAATGAAGGCTACCGTCACGGGCACTGTTAGAGTCCATCACACTCTCCTTCCCAGCCACGTGGATGCTTGTTTGTAAGGGGCTGTTTCTTGGCGACTTTAGAAACAGTTGGGTCAGCTCCACCTGCCACCCTTTCTAGTGGCTGTGGAGGGAGAGAGGGGAAGGATAAGGACGTTTTGGGTGCACATGTAGCCCCAGCAGACGGTGTGTGCCACCAAGAGAGTCCTGCCCTGTGCAATGGGGCAGGCAGTGGGATCTGTGTGGATCATACACACTGTAGCACTGTGCCTCATGAGCAGCCACGGTCTTCCCTGTGTGTGTTGTGTGTGTGTGTGTGTGTGTGTGTGTGTGTGTGGTGTTACTTGGTGGGGCCGGGGGTTGCATTGACTGAGATTAGCTCTTCTGTGATGAGTACAGTGTTGCTTGCAGGGGCAATGGGCATAGGAAGGCCTCTGTGTCCCCTTCTGCAAGCTTTGGCTGAAGTCCTCTATCCTCCTCCAGCATCCAGAGCATCTATCTTGGAATCGGTTCCATGCCTCTTCCCAGTGATGGAAATACAAGGCCAACTAGTGCACACCTTGGGGAGGCAGGATGGTGCTTCCCTAGATGTGCTCTGTCCTGGGCCCTACTGAGAAGTGGCCGGATGCTGGGGAGGACAACCCTGCAAAAGCGACCAGCTAAATTCGCCCGCCTCTTGGAACCGGCTCCTCTGTCCCGTGACTATGCAAGTATGTGTATGTGAAGATGGGGTAAAACTCCATATAAAACTTGCCAAACTCTTACCTTAGGCCTGGTTTTTAAAGCATCAAACTGACCTCTGCACTGTTTAAAAAAGAAAAGAAAAAATGCTTTTGTTCAAATTCAGGTCCTTGCTTTGTCCCGTCCTTCTCTTTCTGCTTCTCCTCTTCACAGTGTAGTATCTTAGCTTCCTCTTCCTGGACTGGACTGCCTCACCCCTGAGGATGGCCGATAAGGCTGAGGATAGCATGCTTGCCTCTTCTCTTCATACTTGCTGTCCTATTAGGGTAAATGGCATTCTCTTTGTAGAGTTACATAAGCCTGAAGAGCAAAACATCACCTACTTTGCAACTGTTATCTGATGAAGAACTTTTTCTGATGATGATGATGATGATGATTACACTCATTATGTTCTAATTATTATACACTTTATTATTACTCT